CCTTATCTTGTGCCTAATATTTTCCATATAGCATGTTGAATGACAAAATGATAAATAGGGGATATGTTGCATATAAACAAGATACGAGCTACAAAAGGGATATTGTTTGACTGATGCATTTCTTATCTGAAAAGTCTATATGATTGACCTTTTCCTGGCTAAGAGAAGAAGATTATTGCTTTGTTCCCTTTGTTGTGGCCATAATAATTTTCAGGTAACAACCTGGCTGTATTAGCGGCGCATTCAAAGCTAAGACATATGTCTAGATCAGTATCCTTTGTTGATGAATGAATGGGATAGGAAGTATTCTGCAATTATGCTATATATAACTTGTTTTGATGTAGTTAAGCTGAACTTAGGTGTTACACGCAAAGCTGTGTTTAGTCTAGATCAGTGCCTCTCATGTCAAACATGAGAAAGGAACATTCGAATAATCACTCCACAAATAACTTGTTTTTGTAGAGTTGGTTCCATAACAACATTTTTCAAGTGTGAAGGACAAAGAAATGCAAAAGCTTTTCCAACTTCTGGCAACAGGAGTATAGGACTGATCCTGATATTTTATCAATGTGTCATCTTTATTTAGTTTTAACATATTGATGGATCGGCTGTTTCTTACCCCAGGGTTAGAGACTTACAGAGGGCAATCCAATGTCACAGTGCTGTATCACTCCAAATCACACTGTGTAATATCAAACTACACAGGAAGCTATTCATCACTCAAATCTGTATGATTAATTTAAATTTTTTTGTCATCTTGGTAGCAAGACATAAAGCTTGAATAACAAATGATCAGAATGTGATGTAATATCTATACTGTATTGATTTGCACAAATTTGCAGCATAACAAATTGTTTCTAAGTTGTAGAAAATGTAATACAGAAGGTACATGTAGTAACATTGACTTTTCCCTAGTAACTTGTTATTTAATCTAACTTATTACTGTTTTGCTATTTCAAGTTTAAATTCACTGGTGATTTTAGAGCAGGGTGGCCAGTGAATTTTTTTCCCTTCAGAAAGCCTGTATGCAAGACTAGGAGACAATATTAATCTAGTATAATGGTTGAAAGAACCGAAAGAAGAGGAAGATCCACATATAGGTGACACCTAATTGATCTTTTTTGTATGGAATATCCCCAGTAAGTAGTAGTGATGCCCTAACCCTAGGAGTCAATCCTATCTCCAACATTCTTGTAAGTATTATTAATAAATGATTTATTCCTGCTTCAAGAGTACAGAAATCGGTTTGTTCTAAGACAAGGTCGTTAATTGAGGGCAAATTCCCTCAGTGCAAAAACCCCACAGAGAGATAGGTTTCCTAGTTGAGTCTGACAGGGCGGCTGCATGTTCTGTTAGCTGGAGGAAGCAGTATGAAAGGGAATTCATGATCATTTCTGCAGTGAAAAATCGCTTACTCTACTACAAGGACAAGGTTGGGGAAATAGCTTTGAAAAGCCGGTAATGGAAAAAATAAGGTATGGTATTTCAAAGACTTACTCCAGGACGTAATAACAAGCTAAAATCTGCTGGGCATATTTTTTATTTATCATCAACATGATTCTGTTAAAAGGGTTGAGTTGAATATTATGGATTTTGTGTTTGTCCACGGGCTTGAAGCTCTGGGATAAGAAGGTACATGTTAAAAGTGTTACTCTGTCAGACATAGAAATATACATTCCAAAAGTCATATTTCTTTGATTTCTTACTCTTAGTGTGATCCTCGTAATCATGATTTCTAAGTTTTGCTATATTTTACATTTTGTAATTGTCATTAGACTTTGGGCCAGCAATAAAAGGCACTTGATTTTATTTATAACTATTTTTTGAGAATTTGACAAAACTAATAAAAGCCTACTTATCTACTAGGCTTTTTCATAGCTCATACAAATAACAGTATGTATCACAATGACTATTGACTACCAAATGTAATATACAAACCTCAAATACAAATGGACTGCCCAGAGAAAGAGCATGAACATCAGTCAGGTGGTTTCTCCTGACAGGCGACATTGAACCACGCAGGAGTGATGGAGGAGAAATTGATTACCTGGGACAGAAAGTGAGAGTGAAATCAGATATTCATGAGGCACCCACAGGCACGAAATGGGTTCTCCACCATCTGGTACTAGGCTGCTAAAGACTTTCTCTAGTCCTGACTATATCATATGTTATATATTATATATTAGCCTGGGGTAGAATTGTACCTTATCTGGCCATTTGTAGCTCATGATGTTGGAAATAACTGGTAGCAGTTCATGTTTGTCTTCATGTACTGTAACTATGGACTGCTGTGCTAGGTAGGTTACCTTTAAATTTATATTTTCTTTTTCTAGATAATTTATTTTGTTTACAAACCCTTTATTATTGCTGCATTTAAAGTCAAATAATATAAAGCTGTCAAAGATAGATATTATATTTTCTGTTCAATGGAAATTTTCCTTTGTGGTGAAATCATAGGTCATTCCCTGGGTCATATAAAGACTTAAAGGTTGACTACTTAATCAATAATTTATTGCCAAATACAGTCCCTTTCTTAAGTACTGTCCATGAACTAGTTTAGTGCAATGGCAGGACTCATATCTCCTCTTTTGTGGAAGCTAGAATGCCATGGCTCATGTCCTGATGTGTTCCCAAGAATTCCCCTTGCAACGGGCAAAACAATTCTCTCTGGTGTTCTTGTTTAGCACCTTGATACAGATCTAATTGTGGATGAGGGTTACTACCTGATATCAAGGAAGTGATAACAAAGAGGAAAAACATGTTTGAACTAACAGTTCACAAACCCAAGTTCAGTACCGGTATCTATTTTAATGCTTAGCATTACATTCTATAACATACTGTACAACAATAAATCAAAATTTAACGTTAGTGCCTGTGATGACAAGAAAGAAAATAATCACAATAAGTTGTAACATAATTATGCTGTTTGTTCATGTTAAACTATTTTTCTAGCACTATTCTAATTTTCTTTACAATACGTATTTTATACTAATTTAAAAAAGCTGACATGTAGCATCTAGATGGGGCCCTTAAGTAAGTAGTACACTCTGAAACATACTGTCAAACAATAAATCACAATGATTGTAACCAGATATAATTTTTGCATGAGAACAAAACATTATTCATCGGAAGATATTTTATTAGAACAATACTGTGTTTTTTTTCTATCCTGCTGGTATGTGTTTTGTAGCTTCTAACTCATTGTTTCAGTTGAAAGCTATCTCAGTGCTAGACTCATCACTGTCTATGACTTATCAAATATTAAACAGGAAATAATTGCGAAAGAAAGACACTATTGTTGAGAAAAGTGAAGTGTAGAGACACCGCGCTCTAAATCAGTTAAGTCGCATAGTTACCATTCAGAATGGTTCATAGATAAAAGGCCCCACATGACACTCTTGTGGTTTCTATCTCAGCATCAATTGTTGAGAATTTTGGAACATGCAGTCCTTGCATATTTTGCATTGTGTTCAAGCATTGCAGCTGCATGATTTTAATTTTTTTTAAGTCTATGCATTTACCAAGTTTTGATTTATTTATTCACCTATTCATTGAGATTGCCAACACTTCCTGCCAATTCATATATTTCTGTAAATGTAAAGGTCTTATCATGATGTACTTTGGATGTGTTGGCTAAAGTAGGATGCTAACCCATGCCTTCATTTAATTAGCCTGCTTTTTTAATAAATAGTACATTAAAACACAGATTTAAAACACAACTGTTTTTATATAAGTGCCTGGAAGTAAGTCTTAGAATAAAGCTGATCCCTCAAAATTACCTCCCTAACTACCAGTCTGAGTGGTATGGCCCAGATATTCATGAGGTATATGTCAGCATCACTTTTGTTAACTTGACAGTTGGGCCTTCCCCACACAATATACGTGTGGGTGTCTGTTGAAAAGGCCACGTTTGTATTGCTTGTCTCCGAGCGGCTGGTAAAACCGTCAGTCTTGACCTCATCATGGCACGGCTAGCACGCAGAAACTCTTTCCGCCAATGCAGGGAATATGCCAGCGGACTGGCAACCTCAGTCATGTATGTTTGTTTGTTTGTTTAACGTTGTTTGTACTGAATTTGTGGTCAGGTTTAGATTGCTGTATTCATTTTATTCATTCAGGACACAACTATGCACATTGTAAACTAAGAAAAATGTTATGAACAATTTTTATATCTTCTTTGATGCCATTTTTACCTTCAAGTTATTGTATAATGGACATTGATTCTAGGAGCAATGCTCAAGGAATTTTTGAAGTATTGTACATGTATATGTACATGTGTATTATAATTTTGATACATACAGTATTGTAGGCAATTGTCATAATTTAATTTCAAAAGGTGTATGAAGATGCTAATCAAGAAAACTAATGATTCAGACCATCATCTGTTTCATGTTGTGTTAAGGAATTCACCACTTCTTGCAAGTTTTAAGGACTTAGTACAATGTAGGTTGCATGACTCAACTGACCCGACGGCATCCAATGCACAGTGGCTTATTAAAGCCTATCAGACACAATATCGAAATGTTATGGGTTTGAAGGCATTCCTGGCTAGTCTCTCTGTCTTTGGGAAAGGCAAGGTACTTCACACAAGTTTTTCCTCACTCCACCACAGATGTAAAATGGGTACCTGAAGTCAGTTGGGCCGGATGTAAAAGGTGGTGGAAGGAGAGGGATGGGCTCTGGCTTTCAATATTATGCCCTCAGTGCAGTGGATTAACAATCCTCTGTCCCTGTAGCCTAAAACTGGCTATGGGACTTTACCCAGCTTATCAGCTCCTTTCTTTCCCATGTACAGTACCTACATTTTAGGAAAATCTGCTATATTCTGTGCAACTTGCATTAAAGTCTAGATTTTAGATGACTCAACTGACCACTCCCCTATCTTCCCCATGTACAGCACCAAGGCCTTTACTAGGAAAAGGGAAATATTCAGTGTGCAAATTGAATTAGTCTAGATTAGTTGACCCAACTGACCACTCCCCTTTCTTCCCCATCTACAGCACCAAGGGTGGTCAGCTGTCCCGTCTAGCCAGGAAGTTCGCCGGACATCCGAAGGAAGAGAGAAAGGCTGCGCTAAAGTACCGCTCCATCAGTGTGGACAAGTGAGTATTGTGGGGAGGGATCGACTAGGTCAAGTTCACGTCCAGGTTAGAAATTATAGAAAATTCATGCATTCAAAGCACATACATTGTGCACCAAGGTCAAGGATGTTGTGGGAACTTTGAAGTTCAATTCCAGGTTATTACAGCTAACCTTCAACTAACACTACGTTACAGCTGGCAGAATTTAAATGACAGAAACTATGATACAGGAGCTATAATTTATAAATTCTGCCAGCTGTAAGGTTAGCTGCAAGGTTAGCTACAAATTCATGTATTCAACAGGTTCAAAGCACAGGTTTAGGCTTGGGCCAAGTTTTTACCAGGCTTTCCTTTTGTACTACTGGTACCTATTTTTATATGTCAGCCAGTAGAATGGTAGTATATATGATACTGTCTTGCCAATGTGAAACTTTATTTCAGCCACCAAAAGATCTACAAGGAAGCAAGGAAGAGATGTTGTTATAAGGGTCAACAAGGTCAAGATGATTTTGTGCAAGTGGGTCAGGGGGTCAAATTCCAAAACGTATTTTGTGGCGAATCATGGGAATTGTTGAACTTCACGTTCTGTCTCAGATTATTTTGTGGAAAAGGGTCAATAGGGTCAAGTGCATGTGTATAGATCAAGTCCTTTATTCTTCAGTGGTGGGGTGGTGTCTGTCAATACAGCTAATGAAAATCCACATACACAGGTCTACATGATAAATGGGCTGGTGCAGGTTAGGTACAGATAGACATCAGAAATACCTGCATAGCACCAATTTCACCTGCACTAACCTGCTTATAGAGAATGTATTTCCATCCCGAACAACTTACTTCTCAAGTTATGCACCAGTATCTACCCACCAACTCAACCACAAAGTTTTAACATTTCTAAAAAGTTGACACATCTCTTAGTACATGTAGTTACTGAGGAGTTAACAAAGTTTCATAAACTCAAAGTAGTGTCCTCTGCCCCAGGCTGTTGGCTAACGGTCAACCTTGACTTTCTCCAGTGTAACTTTTCCAGAACATAATAAACATTTCACGGATCACATGTGCAGTGATACATCGATTCTGGCCTGCATCCCAGAACAAAATTCACAGTGTTGCCCTTTTAGTTCAACTTGAACTGTAACTAAACAGTGCTCACAATCCGTAAACTTTAGAAGCAATTCAAACGTCACAATTATTTTGTTCTTTTTCCTTGACATTTCATATTTAGCATCTGAAAAAGCAGTGCCAAGTTTGGACGGAGTCCATCCTACACCTACATGACGTGTATATTACTGCACCTCCAAATTAGAATAATGCGACTAAAAAGAAAGCATTATTCGTTCCTTTCATTTGCCTTGACATTTTTCAGTCTATACCCTGTGCGAGAAAGTTATTCTAAAGTTGGATACAACCCAGTTCAGTTCACGACCCAGTCTGTACTTACTGGGTTAAAGGTGATGACAGAAGATGGGGCATATATTTTAGATAGAAAGGTCACAGTCCTCTCCACCAACCTCTGCTTGGAGAGTACCTATACTGTGATATATACAGAATACACCTGCAATGTTTACTAGGTGTGAAATTACACTCAGATGTAGTTGGCTTAGTACTGGTGATCCCAAAAGCCATAATATAAATCTGGTGTAGGTATCTGTCATTATTGCACACCAACAAGTTGACGTATTGGATTTGACGTTAATGAGATTTTCCAAGTTTGCAATTAAGTTTCTGTGGTGACATGACAGGAAGCATTAGCACAGTATCATCTATGGTTAGTATGATGAGGTAAATTCCCCTGGCTCTTTTCAACTGTAGACCATGCATAGCTTAATGATCCATCCTCAGGACTGAAATTGCCTGTAGCAAGTTGGGTGAGTAGAATTTGAATTTCTCAATGTTACTGATCCAAATCCCACTGCCCAGATTTGATTCAGTGGTGTAGTGACATTATACAAAATATATCAAATAACTGAGGAGTCAGTCGTTTCAGGTAGCAATCTGTCCCGCTATTTTTCATCAGTGACTGAGAATGATTCAACACACACTGTAACCTGTATATATATTCCAGTTGCTTGGTCTATCTTGTTTTAAATAATGTTCAGTCTAACCTAACATTCATTGTCGTTATGTGATGTAACAACTTGGGAAAATTACTTTACTAAAGGTAGACTCTACTGTGGCTAAACTCTCCTTTCCAATTATTCTCCCTATTTGGCCAAATTTTACTGTATGAGTTGAACACGCATTGTTCCTTTGGTGAAGACTAGTTACACCCTACTCACAGTTGCAAACTCACAGAAAGAAAAAAAAAGAAACAATGATGAATCCTTTCCGCCCCACTGGCCAGATGTAGCCTTTCCGCATGCATAACTCTCAACAGGCTATTTTACACTCCAACTCTTCATCCATCCGGAAATGGGCAATCTTGAGTTTGGCGAGTTATCCGTCTGCCGAGAGTTGTGCGTCATCAGTGATGCACTTGGCTTTGCCCTTGGACAAAAGTGGTGCTTTGATTGGGAAGATGTTAAATGCAGCGTGGAGGAAAAGATTTGTAACTCGGCTCATAACGTCTGAAGTTCTGCATTGATGTAAGACATCCGAGCAGATTTGATGGATATGGGATCTGTGGTGTAGTTGTGCGGTAGCTCTTTATGATGCAGCTCTTTATGACGAGAGTGAAGTGTGTCATACTTCTACAGTTCTCCTAGGATGTTAAATATGATATCGCAGCATCTGATGTCTTTCACTGATGGGGGTTTAGATAGTCCATCTACTTCATACAGTGAAAATAGATGGAATGGATTTCTTGAGATGAGTCATCACTTGTGTGTTGCTGAATCCACTGTGTGGATGGCAGTTGAATGTGGCAGGTGTGTGGGAGAAACTTTGAATGGAAATAAAAGTTACTTCTCTTACGATTTATTGTGGATATCACAGTTACTGGCCGTGACATTGTGAAAAGTAGCAAAAGTTTACTTTCATTGAGTTTTCCTGACTTCACACAAAAATGTACTACACAGTATGACATAGTACAAAGTTACCTACGCCAGGGGTTTATACTTCTGTTAACAATTTTTCCAAAGTACCAAAACTTAAAGTTAGTAACTGTTGTAACAATTTGTTATCACAGCTTTAAGTAAGCTCGATACTTACATTTTTGTAGACGTTTTCCTTTCTAGTGAATTGTTTTCATTCTCTAATATGGCCGATATCATTCTATAGTTCTGATGAATTATCTTTTTCTTCCAGTGGGGAGGATTTCTACTATCCGCTAGCGATGTCTGGTCGGTCCAGGAGCATCGAGAGCCTGCACTCTCCCTCCAGCGAGGAGATGAAGAGAAGAAACATCCCCCCAGCGACTCCGCCCTCCGTACCCCCGCCTACCTCCTCACGGGTCAACAAGAAGCTCTCCAACAAGCACAGAGGCTTCTCCATCGACTCTGCCATGGGCCCAAACCTGGACAAGGGGAAGAGATCGCGGAAAACCAGCTATGGACCAATGCCATCTCCAGGTATGGACTAGCTGGTATCCAAGCATATCTTGTGTGTTTTAGGCATGCCCCCTTGTGAGTGAAAGTGGTACTACAGCTGGATTATGAAATATCAGGCAAGACATGTAGATGACAGAAAAACAATCAAAGTGATTGATTAGATATTGTTTTAAATGTAGATGTATCATGATCATTATTGATTATTACATCTGAACGTTTAGTTTGTTTTATGATGCTGTTCTTCCTGCTGAATTTTTAATTATGGATCTGATGTTTCTCCCCAGTTCTATTTGACTCGGTGGAGCTGCAGGATTTGGATGCTGTCAGGAGTTTACTCAACTCTCCTCACTGTCCTGACATTAACAGGTAACCTACATTCATCACCATCATCTTAACCCCCCTCCCCAGGACTGAGCAAATCTTGCACTACTGAACCCATTTGCATTTATTTGCTTTCATATATCCACCACTTTGAAAAACAGTGTTTGAGTGATCTCTACTGCACATAGCCCCCAGGTATGCACAGTTTGGAGATGCAGCAGTGCACTTTACTGGCTGATGTTGCTTTGGAGATCTCTTTAGATATCTGATGCATTTTTCAAGGTGATGGATCTGGGACCTGGCAGAATTATGCTAGTTACATTTTTGTAAGACATATTATTAAAGAAATTGTTCTTTTTTTAGCTATTCCACTGCACTGGTGTTATCCTGAATAAATAACACTTTCTAGCAGCCCTTCCACTGGTCAGCCCCCTTGAATCTCAAGGAGGGATCCCTATCAGCCCCTCACAGTGAGATATTATGTACCACTTTGGCAACACTCCTGCAAGTAACATTGAAAATCACCTGCACCAGACAGTTTGGGAAGTGTGTTAGGGATGGAAGCTCATTCCTCTGCTGGTTTGCAAATTTATTATTAATCCATAGTAATTTGACAGCATTGCATGTTTTGTCATGATATCGATAATCTCTTCCATCAGTTGGACAGACAGGCTGTTGTCAGATGGATTTGTCTCGTGTAAAAAACCCATTCATCAGCTTGCTTGTGGGAGGCTTGGTTTAGATATGAGACAAAATTTGCAAAAATAGGGTCAATCCAATATTTTTATTTTAAGTATCATCATTATGTTCATTTTGTATTAAATTTTGTTTAAGACCACTGTCAAGAATCCAGACAACACTTTCCATTGGTATGAATATATATTATGAAAATGTAGTTTTTATAAAAAAATCAACAACACCATTCACTAGCAAGTGTTTATCTTACAGATTTGTATAAAAACCAGATGCAATAATGTCATAGGCTGTTATTTATTGGTGGTACCAGAAAATAAAGGACTCCTCATGTAGCATGCATTAAGTATGAAATGTTGACAAAAATGTGCTAAGAAATGCCACAGTAAATGTCAATATCAGATAGATTTCCTTATCAATAATAATGCTTTGTTTTGCTGTCCTGAAATTGCATTGGATCCGATGCCTTTAAGACAGCTTGTAATTAAAAAAGCTTCTGCTGTATCCAACATGTATGGGTTATTCAATGATCGTAAATTGGGGATTGACGTAGTCACCATGAGTCAGCCTAACCAATATATAGCAGACTCTACAGACTGTTGAGTAATTATCGACTATTGGATGAAGCAGCGCCGTGACTCGTAAACAAGGTTGGCTTGGGTTTCACCGAGGTTGAGACAGAATTACATCAAGCAATTTGTTCAGATTAGTCTGGAGTGTGATTCCAGTGATGCCTGAGGGAATATTGTGCATTATATAGCTCAAAACCTTATCTGAGAACCAGTGGATATACACATTGGCAGTGGTTAAATAAGTTCAAGCATCTTCCAGTTGCAGTAATTTCTGATCCACTAACACATTTGGGTTATTTTGCTAAAGAAATTGAACTTCTTCCCACACTATGTAATGGCACACTGGTGTATAGGGTAGCGCCCATCTCTCTTTCATTAGCCCTTGGCCACTGAGATAATACAGCAGGGGGCTACCGGTAGTTCACTTGTTAGGGCTAAATTCAATTACGGCCTATGGGTAGGTCTAAATTAGTAAAAACTTAAAGGATTTTAAATCTTTCTACTACAATTATAATTGTAAATTTAGAAAATGGCACTCACATATGGGTTATGAATCATTCAAGTCTGCCTTGTAACGATAAGCTCTTGATGTCACTGATAGATGACTTACACAATAATATACCAGTAGAAGGATTTGGCTAAGCTTGGCAGATTCATTTAATACTTTATCCTCAAATGACCCCATACTTGTTCCTTTGTACTTTTACTCCTAACACATGTCATAGAAAAACTGAAATATTTTTTATTCTATTTCAAAGCACTTTTATCTGTTGCCCTTGTAAAGAATGCAAAAAAATAAATCATGCTGAAAGTAAGCATGATCTGGTGTGACAAAAGTGATGAATAAGGCATGAAGCAGTAGAATGATAATATGCTGACAAAGATCTCAATCGATGTGAACAAATACAGTCAGACATTTGACTCATCACCAAGAAACCACAACGTGACATGCCATACGTCATACAATGGTCTCGGGAGGCTCACGAGGATCAAATCACTGCGTATAAAAGAGATTGAACCAACGCCTTAGGTCATAAACCCAGTTTCTCATCAAGCCCTACTCCTGAAGTCCCGAGAGTGATTACTGCAATCTTGTGGAAGTTCTCTGGTCTTTCTGTCAGTTTCTACATTGTTGTAAGTTTTACTTTTGAGTTATAAATCAACACTGGTCCCAGGTATAATTCTAGTTTTTATGATTTCCAGTCATGATTTCTTTGCATCCTTTTTCTTTTTGGGCGACTTGGTCAAAGCTTGAACCTTTTTTGGTATGTACATGTAGCAGTGCAAATCATGTGACTTTGCTCAGGTGTGTTGTATTTGGCCACACCGGGTCACCCCTACTCTTCTTGAAGAGTGTGCCTACATGCAGCATCTGTAAATGATTATGATCCGTTTTTCCCAATCCAGTATCAACGAGGAAGGTTTCACCCCGCTGGACGTAGCAGTGATGACCAACAACGTGCCGATGTCCAAGATGCTGATCACAGCCGGGGCAGTGGACAACCCCAGATGTAAGTGCCTTTGACTTTTATGCAGAAACATATTTTATGATATGGTAGTAGATAGTTAATAGAATTATCCGTAATCATGAACATTTTTATGACAGCCGGGGCAGTAAAGCCAATATGTAAGTGCCATTGACTTTTATACAGAAATTTCATTATAACATCTTTCAATTTAAGTACATTGTAAAACATAATTCAACCAAGTCTTAATACTCTTATGTACCAGTATCTGCCACTTAGAACAATTTGTTTAAAAACACTGAGTTATCCCCATTTTTGTTTGCGAAAAAAGACTTCATAGTCTGTGACGTCACCAGTTCATGGCCAAATGCAGCCTTTTTCGTGTCACTTCCATAAAACATGATTAAATGTCATGCACGTGCAGTGGGAAATTTTCCACGTGAGCTAATTGCAGGAAAACAAAGATCCCTTCTTCCTACTACTAATTATTATTACAGTTACTGTAATCAATACGACAGTGCAATTTGTCTAAATGCCTCAGTACCATGTGAAGCCAGATATACATGCATGCAATACTAGAATCGAATGACACTCTATCTGTATGTCAAGCTTGCTAAGTAACTGTAGTAATCATCTTAAAGGAATCTGAGAAAAGAAGACCATGCCCTTAGATAATTTTTCCCATCGACACAAGCATTAGGAATCTTATAATAGTGACCACATACATGTACCTGTCCACTTAGACAAGATTTTATCTACATGTATTCCCTGAGTGGTCTTCCTGGCCAGTTTTGACTGTACAAAGCCACAGAACTAATGTAACCTTAACCTGTCATCTCTCTCCAGTCTCGTGTCCTGAGGCCCGGGGGCTGCACCTGGCGACGTTAGTGAGCGAAGCTGAGAGAAAGGTGGACAACATCATGCAGCAGGTGGTCAACATGGGTCCCCCCACCAGCGCGCAGCAGCAGAAGGTATGAGAGGGCCTTCATTTTAATTTCATCTCATCCATCTCTTATAATTTGACGGTTGAGGCACGACAAAAGATCTGTCAATCTAAAAGACA